ATTACAGTTTTATAATAGTTTTCATTGTGACTTTGTATACTATTAGTATCTAGCAGAGCTCTTTCTACCACCACATTGAAAAAAAAGTTCAGTATTATCCTGAAATAGTATTTTTGGCTCTTTGAATTTCCATATACATGTTAGAATTAGCTTACCAAGATTCTAAGGAAAACAGTTTAAAATTTGGCTGGTAATACTTTAAAGCTATAAATCAATTTGGGATAGTTGATCTCTTTTAATAAACAACTCTTGCAGGGCTGTAATCTCAGTGGCTCGGGAGGCTGAGGCAGGATGATCACAATATCATAATAGGCAGAATTTTAATAGTTTACAGTATTCATTTACATTTCTAATATGTACATTACTATTTTTCTATACCCCTTCTCTCAGTTATTGGTGAGTTGATTTACAAATATCCCACATTTGCATTTCTATAATGAATAAGCAAACAAAATTTTGTTTTCTACTTTTTTTCTTTCTCTCTTTAGGAAACAATTTCATCTTAACTTGCACTGCTTGGTTAATGTCCACATCATAATGTAATAAAACTACCCTCTGTCAAAAAGACTACAGTAAGGTATTTATTCCCTTATTCAAGAACAAATTTTTGTGCAATAAACCACATATTGGCATGGCTTAGGAATTCTGAAATACTGAAAAGAATAGCATGCAATTTACTCTCTGTATTTTTTCATATCACGTATTTAGATTGCCCAAATTTCTCAGACACACGACCTAAAAAAACAGCACCACATGAAAATAAATAATTAAAATAAAGGTATTGTGTCCATCTACAACTAAAAAAATTATAAAGCTATCATTCACATTAAATATAGTTTTGTGGATTGAAAATGCAAATTAATCAACAAATAATTTGGATGAAAATTTGAGTTCTAAGGTGAGCTGGACAGAAGATGAATATAGCTTTATTGGTCTTTCTATATGTAAACAGTTTGTGTAAATTAGCTTAAAATTTCTTTTAAATAGCCCCACAGATATATAAACTCATTGATCTTTCAAAAAGATAATTTACCCTTCTAGATGTTATAAATGAATCCCCAAACAATATAAAATTATTTATTTAACAGTATAGAAGGCTTATTTTTAATTCAATGGTCTCAACATCTGGTGTTTCACTTATTAATTCTAAACCAAAGAAAAAATTGACTCTGATGACTGTAAAAGTCATGCTATACAATATCAGCACACATCCCCCTTTTCCTATATTTTCCTTAAAACTCTGAAAACTTTTTTAAAAATGAAATAAACTGTGAAGATCCCAAATTGTTGATGAGAAATTTAGTGAGAAGACTCTTTTTGTGTGTGTGCCAACTAACAGCTATTTAAAAATTGACTGTGACCTTTTGAGTGTGAAAGTACTTGAAATTAATAAGAATTATATATTTAGTATTAGTACTTTTAGCTAGCTAGGCTTTTGTTTCCTCAAATTTCCAATGGTGGCCACATTATTTATAAATACTATGATCCCTTGGAGCCACTAGGGATGGATTAATCCTCTTGAGGCTCCAAGGAACCATTTGTTAGATTACATTTCAGGGGCAGTAAAAAGCATCCAGAAATGTATAAGAATCCATTACAGATGAGCAAACACTAGTATTTCAGGGATAATTGTGGTCATATTGTTCAACATAGTAGCAAGATTGTGCAGAATAATATTGGTCTTGAAGCAGCATACCATTAACTTATAAATAAGTGTTCGATTCAAAAAATAAAAAGTTTAAAAAAGTGTTACTCCATATATAAACTTTTATTTAAGCTATGACAATTACTAGAAATTTTTTTGTTTCAGACAGGCAAATCAACCAAGAATTGGACAAAAATGAAAAAAAATAGAGCACGAAAATGAACGCATTAATAAAACATTAACATCATATGAATGAGTCCACATAGCCAAGACCTTATGCATAAGCACCAGTCTATGTGACCAATCAGTTCTGATCTAGTTTTTCATAGGATATTTAATAATATCACATATTATATAATAACATATTTACTTTGATACATATTAAAAGGAAAATTAGGAAGCTACTATCTGGAGGAATATAATTTACATTATGAATGCATTCACTCAACAAGTATGTGTGGAATTCCTACTACATTTCAAGTATTTTTATAGGTACTGGGAACATTTCTATTACCTATCTTCAGTCATTTATTGATATATTTATCATTACTTATTAAAATAAATGACCTTACGTTATGTCATTTATTTACAAGAAAGATAGTAATTTTTTTTCCATTTCCAAGTTTCTCCTTAAAGAAATATGTATTCTTGCCTTTTTACACTGTACTAAAAATATCACTTACACATATAACACTTTTTTCCCCCTCAATCATGGATATTACATTGGGACCAGTATGTGTGAAACGTCATGTACATAAGATCCTCCCCCCAAATAACCTTGATGATGAAGGTTTTCAATCACAATATTCTTACTTTTCTTCTCTATGGGGCTATTTAAAGTTTGTACAGGTGACTGTTTCAAAAATATAAGCAAAATAAAACTCGTATTATACAGTCCATTCATAACCTAAGCATTCACAGTATATTTTTACTAACTGCACTAGAAAAAGATAAACAATAAATTTCTTTTTTAATCTTGGCATAATTATTTATAGTCTATGAAATGTCAGCAAAAATAAAACACAAGACTGAAAAATTATGAAGATTAAATTTCATTTATATTTTCCCTCTGATTTTCACCAAGGGAATTTACAGAGTTTATTCAAATGTTTGGCAGGGACATAAACACAAGGATTTTACCAGGACTTTGGCATATTTTAATTTCTCCTGTTTTTTTTTTTTTTTAAATACAGTCTGACCTTTGAAAAATAGAAATAATTTAAATACATAATCCCCGAAATTTGCATTAAATACTTATTCTTGATCATTTTCACTTTGTACACATCTTTCTAGATTTATATTGAATCAAAACATTTGTAAAATATGGAAGCTAACACTGATATTTTACGTTTATAAGTTTATATAAAAACTAGTACTATACATAAAGAAACAGAGAGTATATGTGATAATTACCAACGTAACTATTTAAAATTTTATTTGGAATGTCATAATCAACACAATAATGTAAAGCAATTAGATTCATAACATATGAGAAAACTGTCTCCTGTTTTATAGATTTCCACTTGTCAATTTAAATGCAGATTATATATTAAAGTTTTTCCTAAATTGTGTTAGATAGATATATAAGATGTGCATTTTAATTTGCTAGCAGATTTAATCTTTTACATCATGGAGATAGTTTTTTTCTCTGAACACATATAATTCACAATGTTTTTAAGAAAGAGATGTTCATCATGGTATTGTTTATAAATGTAAAAAAAATATTGAAAACATGTAAACCTTTTTCAACAGCAACCTTTTATATATGTTATAGTATATCCACACAATGGAATACTATGCAGTCACTAAATTAATATAAATTGATTTTTATTGCCATGAAAATATGATTATGGTTCAGTTTATAATTAAAAACAATATAAGTAGTACAGTGTTTTAAGTAAAAAACACATGGCCATACATAGGAAAAAAGATATGACAGATATGCACATCCTAAAAATATTAATAGTGGTTATCTCTGAATTGTGATTATTTTACTACCTTCTTTTGCACTGTGTACATTTTTATAATGATCAAATATTATGTTTAAAATTTAAAAACAGTGATTTTTATTTTGAAAATACCTGTTCATGAATCACATTAAATTTGTAGGTAAACAGAAACAGTTTTTTTCTCATTATTTTATAGTTCAAATGGCTAACAAGTGTTAATAAAATTATATATTTATGTTGTAGTATGTATGAAAATGAAGATTTATATATAATGTAATAAAAACCAAATAACAATAGAAACAAAGCATTTTCTTGTGTTTGAATATGTGGTAGAAGTGAATCAGATTATATAAAAACAGTTATTTAAATTTTACATAAATTAGGTATTTATCTCCTTCTCAAATGGATTTGAACTGGTATGCATAAGAAAGGCAATCAAAACGATATAAATGCAATATGGATGGGAGGCAGACAATGAGAAGAGGGAACTACAAGTGAAATGTGGAGAATTTGTAATCTAGAAGTTGCATGACATAAGTAACATCAGTATCAAACAGAAACATTATTTTTTCTGAATTTCCAAGCAGTCAGAGACATAAACACAACTGTATCAAGTTAATAGTTCTCACAATGGACGGAAACCAAGAGACAACCTGTTCCATAACTTTGAAACTTCTGTGTTTGTTATCACATGGATACATTCAAGAATTTACAAGGATAATAATATGCTTAATATATGATCTTTAAAGTAGTTTTCAACATAATTCTATACATTATTTAATATTCACATTGACACTTGATAAAAGATGAAGATAAAATATTAAATTATCTATGGATAAAGGCAATTTAGTGTAGTTATTCATCTTGCTTGTTAATTTAACATTACCTATGTATGTACTAAGGAATTTAGAAATATAAGAGTGGTCCTTACAGTCCTGGAATATCAAATCTTCCTTGAAAGGTTTATAAGATGCAAATCATAATTTAAATAGCCACTACATAAAATGTTAATTTCCAAAGGTACTTATTGTGAAAACAGGGCATGAAGTTAATACAGAACTCCCAACACTACTTAAAGCCAGTACCAATTCTGTAGTATTCTCACAATATATTTAAAAGGGAAAAATACAAATAAATAAGGGAAGAAAAGAAATCTCACATCTTTCTAAAAGAATATTCATATTAAATAATGATTTAAGTGAAATTATGTATATGTTTATTGGATCATATACATTTTCCCCTGCTCTGTTGATTTCTCAAACAGCAAGTTAGAAGTTTTTACTGTGATGGACTCAAAAGTAAGGACAATGCCAAGAACATTTTCATAGAAGAAATTAAATGAAGTATTATTGAATTAAAAAAGGAAATATACTCAATCAACTGCCTTACCTTGGCTGTTCAGGAATAAATTTTATTCTACACATCACTAAGGATATTATATCAAAAATTGTATAAAAAGACAATTTTACAATTAGAAATTATGTTCACTAAAATGAACAAGGCTTTCTAGTTTCACTTTGTTTTCAAAAGAAAGTATTCACTTAAAAAACAACAACAACAACAACTGTGAATTGGCGTAAAATAACCCCTTATCACAAAGGAGCCTGAAGTAGGCACCAGCTAAGGCTGAAACAAATTGAAATTCTGATTCTCACCACCTGCGCCTGGCCTGGCCCAGGGTGACATGCAGGGGCTTGGAGCCCACTACTCGACCATTCATCTCATCGACTGCTTTGGTAGCCTCTTCAAAAGAAGAAAAGCAGACAACACCAAAACCTTTGCCTTGCCCTACTTCCATCATCACTTTGGCTCTGCTAATTGATCCAAATGAAGAAAATTCCTCCTTCAGTTTTTCATCATCGATGGCCTCATCCAGGTTTTTAATATAGATAGGCACCCCCGGAGGTCGACTTTTTTCTTTTAATCTCAGCCGTTCAAATCTCCGCCTTAACTCAGCTAGGCGTTCAATTTTCTTCTGTGCTCGCCCTACATACAGGACTTTCCCATCAATTGACTTTCCATGCAGGTCTAGCACAGCCTTTTGGGCAGCCTCGTGTGTCTCATACCTTACAAACCCAAAGCCTTTAGATTTACCACTGGCATCTCTTATTACCTTTACACTCTCAGTTGGCCCATATTCACTGAAAAGTTCCTTCAGTTTTTCATCATCCATGTCATCTCCAAAGTTTTTAACAAAAACGTTAGTGAATGTTGCTCTATCCCTGGTTCTAACTTCAGCTGCACGCTCTTCTGGGAATTTGAATCTACCAACGTATACCTGGCGATTGTTCAGCCGAACTCCATTCATGTGCCAGATGGCCCTATTGGCAGCGGCCAGGCTGTCAAAATGCACATAGGCATAACCCTTAGAGCCATTGTCATCACATACAACTTTGCAGGAGAGAATGTTCCCAAAAGCCGAAAACAAATAGAACAGGGCCCTATTATCAATTGATTTATCCAGGTTTTTGATGAATATATTTCCAACACCAGATTTTCTTAAACGGTCATCTGGCTGTGACCACATGAGGCGGAATGGTTTGCCATTAATCAAATCAAAATTCATGGTGTTCAGGGCCCATTCAGCATCCGCAGGAAAGCGGAAGTTAACATAGCCATAGCCCAGGGGACTGCGGGTCACTGGGTCACGGCAGATTCGGGTGAAACGCAGAGGGCCAGCGGGCCTGAACTTCTTATAGAGCATGTCCTCAGTGACATCAGGGTCCAAATCACCCACGTACAGGGCGGCCTTGAGGTACTTCTTTTTCTTGCCAGCAGGATTAGGCTCCCCGCTCCCCATCTCTCTTAGCATAGAGAGGAGACTCTCTTGGGAAAGAAAAAAAAAAAAAAAGGCTGTTTTCTCTAATCTATGGGCCAAACAGCTGCTCACGAACAGAATAAGCCAAGGCAGGTGAAGGCAAGCTAAAAGCAGACTCAATCACTGTTGAGGCTGAGGCTGAGAAAATGAAGTTCAGAAACAGCTGGTCAGCAGGCTCAGAACAAACGCATCAGACAAAAAGGCACCCCAATAACGAATCTGTTCTCCCTGAGAGGGCTTAAATTTTTCACCCGTGCAGATTTAAAATCAGTTTCAAAAGCCAGTATTAGTAACGAAAATTCTCTTTCCCCTTTAAATTTTAAGAAATCACCAAGCAGCTGGCTGGTTCCCCACATCTAGCATTGCCGACAGAGGCCTTGAGACCGGTTTTCTGCATAAATATAGGCCTCGAGCTGCTGTTGGTTTAAAATGCTATCAACAAGGGCAGGGGCCCAGTGTGTATTCCTCCGCCGCTGCCTTGCTGGCCGACCGAGGTTTCAGGCGCGCTAGCAGCTTACTAAGGCCGCTCTGCACTCAGCGTCAGCGAAAGGGCATACTAGACACTTGGTGCGTTGGGACCAGCAGGCAAGCTGCTGGCAGCGGATCAGACAGAGAGACAGACAGACAGACAAACGCGCGGGGGACCGGAGACCGCCCAGATACCCAAGATGCCCACTGGGTACGGACCGAGTGAGGCGCGATGATTTCAGAAGCCTGAAGCTCGTGGCAGGTCCGGAGGGACTGACTCACAGACGCGTAGAGAGGGTCAGCTCAGACGCGAGGCGGGTCCGGACAGATGCAGGGCGGAGTCAAGAGAAGGGCAGATGCGCGGCGGGCGGGCCCAGAGGGGACCGGTGGACTGGGGTTGCTTACCTCAGGATAGACCGACCAAGGGACCAAGAGCTTATAGCTGTGGTAGAGACTGCGGGCGGGGCGCGAGGAAACCCGGAACCGTGCTAAGTAACTTCCCGCTTGCTCTGTGCCAAGATTTAAAAAAAAAAAAAAACGCAAAAAAAGACAAAAAAAATCAATATGATTTTTAGATTTTTCTTTTAAAATTTGTACTTATTTATTTAAATTTTTTAAATATTTTCTTTATGCTGTTCATCCCCAAATCAGAGGAGGTTATGACAATGGCAGAAAGAAATCATAAGATTTTTTTTTTTTTTTTTTTAACTAATACTCTAAATCATGTTGCTTAGGAAAGTGGATATAAATGCTTTCCTGAGTGCTTTGGAAAGTCAAAGTTGATGGCTGGACTGGGCTCCCAGTCTAGTGCTAAATGATCACAGGGTCAAATAGAACACCCAAGCCATGTTGTGTTTGGCCTTTATCCTTACTCCATTAATTTCCAGCATAATGGTACCATTATCCCCAGGTAGCAGGCAGAATTCTTTCCTTTGCTTCAGTAATATTATGGTTTTAATGATTGGAGAGTCATAAAATGGCTTATGATGGTTTCTAGTGCCAAAAAATGTTGAAGCTGTTAAACTGAATTCAGAATCATAATTATAAAACCTCAGTTAAAGAAAGTTAAAGAGATCTGCAGATTCTGTGCAAAATATATAATTAATATCATAAATAAAGTAAACATATTAAAGTATTACACAATTATGTATTTGAAAATGAGTTGTCAACTATAAAACATTGCAGAGAAAAAATGTTGTGAGATTAGACTCAACTAGAAGTCTTTCCCCAAAAGACATCATCACTTCAGAGTTTTGAGAAATTTAACTCCCACATTCAAAAAAAAAATGACAAAAAAAAAAACATGCCATGATTTATGATGCACAAACTAATCCTTGAGAAGCCCCATGCCCAATTCCCTCCACCACCAAAGAAAACCCAAACAAAACATTTATCAGTACTCTTAGGCTGGAAACGGTCCTGGGGAAAAAAGAAACCAAGAAAAGGACATTAACTTAATGGATGTTTTAGTAAGAAGTTCTTAGAATTACAGGCTAAATTTAGGTGCTGCTTCATTTTTTTACATTTTACAGTTTCTATTAAATTGTATATTTGGGGAGCGATGACATTTATTCAGCCTTATTGCTTACTCAAAAATTTAGTTGTTTTCTTTATTGTGTTCTTGTGCTGGCTTTCTAGGGTTCTATGACACATAGTAAATAAAAGTCTATTCTAGAACACAGACTATATGAAAAAAGGCAAATATGAAACAAATATTATACAGATAGAATAATAAAACTGATCTTATAACATGAACACAGTGACCTACATGGGAAAACACTTGTGAACATCTGGTTACTTTATTGCATTTTACACAGGTTTTTATAAACATCTTGTCAGGGCCAGTAGTGTTGCTCAGTGGTAGAGTACTTGCATAACACATATAAGGCTCTGTGTTTGATCCCCAGTACCACAAAAAGCAAAATCAAAATAATAAAAAGCATATTTCATTACATGCCTGAGTATCAATGGATTAAACTATGGTCTGGTTTTTATTTTTTCCCCATTTAAAATATTACTTTATTTTAAATGCTATATTAAAATTAGAAATGCAAAGAATCTTTTCCCTAAACTCACCATTGAAACAAATCAATATTTTCATTTGTTTGTGTGACCATATAAATGTTTTCTGTATTCAAATTTAACCATCCATATTTTCTCTAAGATTATAAAATTAGGTCCCTAAAATACATATTTTCAAAATAACTTTCTCTCTAGGCTTACCAGAAATTTTGGAGTCATTGCAGTTTGGGTAGACTAAAGTACAGTGATAAAAGTCAGATCAAAAATCAGAGCTTTTAAAAAATGTTGTTATTATTATTAATATTATTATTTTGCAGTGCTGGAGAAAGAACCCAGAGACTTGTGCAGGGTAGGCTATAACATTGATCTACATCCCTAGCCCGAAAGATCAGAAATGTTGACCTGTTTGAAATAAATGAATTTTAGTAGATTCCTTTCTTTTAAAGATTTTTTAAGTTGTCAATAAACTTTATTTTATTTATTTATATGCAGTGCTGAGAATTGAACCCAGTGCCTCACATATGCTAGGCAAGTGCTCTGCCACGGAGCCACAACCCCAGCCCTAGTACATTCCTTTCTTCTTTTTTTTTTAAGAGAGAGAGAGAGAGAGAGAGAATTTTTTTTTAATATTTATTTTTCAGTTTTCGGTGGACACAACATCTTTATTTATTTTTTTTTTAATGTGGTGCTGAGGATTGAACCCAGCGCCCCATGCATGCCAGGTGAGCGTGTTACTGCTTGAGCCACATCCACAGCCCTAGATTCCTTTCTTCTAAGCAGAAGTGTAATGCAGAAAAGGAAAGCATTTTCATACATAATTTGTTTAGTTATTTTAACATGTAGACTGAAAAGTCTCTGGAATAAAAGATCAAATACAGAACATTCTTTTGTGATTTTTATTATATTCTAAAGGGCAAGTTTGCAGTGTATATAATCTGATTCACATATTTAAATCCATTAAAATTCCCCATCCAGATTTCTAAAGCAGTTGATTCAAGTATATCTGAAACTTTCTAAATCTGAAAAATATTTTGCATAACGATAGTGTGAGGAGCAACTGGCATTCTAAGTGCATTCCATCATACATTATTATTTATATTTGATACTAACACAACAGTATGGGTGGAGAAAGAAAGGAGTCAGGAGTTTGTTTTCCTGTATTAACAAACATTTAACATTGTGTTCCTGTATTTAAAAAAAAAATCTCAACTGTGTAAGTTGCTATTCTCTTGAATGCAGAGTAGAATGGCTGCACAAAATACTAAGTAAAAACTTTATTACTTGGAATTTGGCCATATTTTGATAAAAAGAGAAAACAATTTTATATTAAGAATATGGTCTAAAAAGACATTTCTACAGTAAATTTGGGAGCCTGAACTCTTTTTTTATATTTCTGAAAAATTTATCCTGAGCCCTGAGAATGTATGTGCTGGATGCTAATCCTGAGGCAACTCGATAAAATTAATCATGACAGAAATATTAAAGTATACCTATTTGCTTTCAATTTAAATTGAAATGTTGCCAAAACCAGAAAAAAATCAATAGAATTTATAATCAAAGAGATTTGGCCTAAACTACCAAAAAAATAGAATATCTAATTCACTAATATTTTCTCACATCTCCGGTATTTATTCAAGGGTTTAGCCATAACTTATACTTTTACAACTCTAGGGAATTTGTTGAGAATCAAGAAAAAATAGTTTTATAGTAACAGTTAAATCATTTTTCAAGAGAAGTTACATAAATGGTCAATGAGTATTCAAAAAATTGCTCAGTATTCCTTATCATCAGGGAAATACAAATCAAAACAACAATGAGATACTATTTCACCCCAGTTAGAATAGCTGTTTTTGAAAAGACAAAAAAAAAAAAAAAAAAAAAAAAAAAAAAAACACAAAAAACAGTACTGGCAAAAATGTGGAGGAAAGAGAACTCTTATACATTGATACTGAGAATATACACCAGTATAGTGATTATGGAAAACATTATGGATGTTTCTCAGAAAAACTAGAAATAGAACTACCATATGATCCAGGCATGTCACTTTGGGGTATATATCCAAAGGAAATGAAATTAGCACATCAAAGACATATCAGCGCTCTCATGTTTACTGTGGCACTATTCATACTTGTAATTAACTGAAGTGACCACTAGCACATAAATGGGCAAAATGTGATATAACTACAAAAAGTAATCTTATTCAGTCATAAAAATTAAATCTGATCATTTGTGGCAAGATGGATGCACCTAGAGGACATTTTGTTAAGTTCAGTAAGCCAGGCAAAGACCAATACTCCCATGTTGTTGTTCTTATATGGAAGTGAAAACAAATTGATTTGATAGAAGTAGAGAGTAAAATAGTGATTACCAGAGGCTAGGGGAGCAGGGAGACAAATGGAATGTTAGGGAAGGAGGACCAATTATAGTTACATAGGAAGAATAAATTCTTATGTTGTGTAGCACAGTTGTTTTATTATAGTTCCCAAAAAATTATTATATATTTTATAAAGAACTTGAAGTGAGGCGTTCAAACATATCCAACACAAAGGAATGATAAATATTTTAAGATAGAGATGTGCTAATTATGCTGGTTTTATCATTATATATTGCATAAATGTATCCAATTACCACATCATACCCATG